GAAAGAAAGAAAGTATTGAAATGAGCATATTGACACAAATTTGAAAATAGGGACTACAAGTTAAAAATTTTGAGAAACATTTAACGTTGTGATGATTTTGGCGGACCTTGTGGATGAAAGTGGTAGTGTTTCACGAGGAACAGAGTCCCTTTGGAAAACCTCTCACTTTACTGCAGCAGGTCTCTGACAGTCTTCCCCTCTCAGTCCTGGTCCTGGCTCTCCCTTCCCTTTTGCGGGCCCAGCAATATGACCATGGTCTCCAGCAGCGTGGTGTCTGTGTTGGCTCCCAGGAAGCAGGCGGTGAGCTCCTGGTCCTTCAGCTGCAGACGGACCCTGCTGCTCTGATGCAGCTTTGCTCTGTTTGCCAGCCACCGGCATACGCAGTGGAACTTTCCACCAAGGTCAATATACAGGACCATGTGAAAGATCCTCCCAACCACCACCTTGTCTTTGGCTGGTCCAATCTGGACCAGCGTGGACTGGACAATCAGTGAGGCAAGAAGCCAGATCGGGGTCTGGGCCCTGCTGGAGTCTGAGCTGATGGAGGTTCTGGTGATCCTGAATGTCTCAAATAGTTTTATCTATATAACTATAAAGAAATAGCCAGTCTTGATGAAAGAGTGGCATCAGTATGACATTTAGATTGTTTTATAACCAGTTAAAACTTCATTGTAGTAACTTTAACGTAACAATATTGGTTCATGCAGCTTCAACCCCTTTTGGTCAGACTGTGTTTGTTTGTGTTGAACCGGCTCTGTTCCACCCGGCTTCCTCCGGTCCCACTGTCCTTTGTTTGGCACATCAATCACTCGGAGCAGAACTTATCCCTCGCTTTGCCTCGTTTTGCCGCTTCTGATCGGATCAGGTCGGCGGTGATTTATAAGGTAAACTGCAGCATTTTTTTTTTTTATCCTTCACTCTGCCAGTCAATTTCAAGAATAATAGAATAACGTGAAATAAAGGCGTAAAGTTCAGACTTCATCCCTGAGCTCTGCATGTGTTTTCTTCCATACAAAATGGAAAGGTCATCCCATCAGAGCAAGACTTCAATGATACACAATGACTGAACGGGAAGATTTATGGACAAATGTGGATATTTTTCATTGTTGGCAGTGGCATTTAGTTTGAATAGTATTTTTCCTAGAGGCAGACAAACCCCTCTGATGGTTAAAATACTGATAATAAGAGCGCATGTTATAATACACACAAGAGCACCTTTTTGGATAGTAAATAGATAAAGAATGGTCGTTTCTGATGCTCAGGATCATTGAAGCAGCGTAGTGACATAATTCACATGATAAGTACAAGAGCTAAATTCTTTAATGGCTAAACATTTGACCGTTGCTCCTCCATTTGGGCCACATTTGTCCAAATAACCTTGCTCCTTTTTTTCCATCTAAATGCAAATGGTCGGGTATTGAAGAAAATTGAAACAACCTCCATTTGCTATCTGCCCATTTGTCTCTGTGCACTGTTGCAACCATACATTTTGTTTTTTGTCTGGTATTGTGAGAAAGGCATTGGCCGCTCAGCCCTCTATGAATTTCAAGGAGGTTTCAGACAGCCCAGGATGTGATGGGAACAGTGGGTATTAATACATGTGTCATAGATGAAATAGGAGTCTCAATGCTTTTTAGTTGATGGTGTCAGTGACCAGATGTACAACAACAGTTTTTAGCTTGTGAGGCGAAAAGGAGGTTGGGATATCTAATGATAAAACAAAGGATGTCTGTCTGTCTGTGTGTCCTTCGCATACCTTGAGAACCGTCTGCCCGATCTATGTCACACTTGGTGGGTGTTTTACTGGGGATCCCATAGAGTGCTATGTCGGATTTGGTGCAATTCGGACACACTAATATAAATAAACTTTGACTAAGTTAGCGAACGGCGTTCCGTGTAGCAGCAGGGGCGGAGCTTGAACACGTCGTCCTCAGTGAGGCTTTACAGGCCGCCCGCGGTTATTGATTTCAGTTCATTTTTACAGCTGGGCGTTCCCGTTCGTTGCACGTTTGGAACGTATGCAACGAACGGGAACGCCCCCAGACAACGCTTTAAGCAGCAATAACTGGAGCCAAGCAATAGATGGCTCTCAACGCACACTTCACTACTGTCTTTCTTGTGGTTGTTTTGTAATATTTCAGTATTTTTTGCATGTGTTGGTGAAAAAAAATCTGTAATTTTTTTTCCACCGACCAAGGTACGCAGCAGAAGCCTGTTCAGACGTTTTTAAACAGGTTTCCTGTTTCCTGTCTTTATTGATTGTGCACAATGTTAAACACGTATCAGTTTTTATCGGTCTAAAAACTAGAAGAAAGTTGTTCTCTCCAAAGAGACTTGGGGGGGGGGGGGGGGGGGGGG